CGTCATTCGATGTGTAGGGGCTGGAATACCGCTCGGGCACCAAAACCTAAGTAAGTGGTTTTCTCAGGGGGGCACACTACAAAACTTTGATCTAGCGATCTGATCAAAAATGCAATGGAACAACGTTAGGAGATGCAGTCCCATGGTAACTGATAACCAACAATAGGTTCATACACCTTTTGTTACCTCGGATTCCTGGAGCCCATGTGCACCATTGGTTTGGAATCAGGGTTTAGGTGGATCATCCGTTTACACCCACCTGGTTTAAAAGCCGAACATCCTGTTTTCGTCCTCTCAATTCCTTAAGAAACACCCTTCCTCACTTGATAATGCAGTCTTGAGGACTCGCCTGACAGCGGTTAATTAATGCGTTGTTACATGGGAACATTTGGGGTGGGTACTGTTCTTACCCTTAGCCATACTAGGGTATTTGTAGAATTTTGGAGGGTAACTTACAAGAAGGTACGTCATACAATGAAGTATACCCGTTACCAAGTCTTTTAACCAAACATATAACTGACAATATACTAAGTATCTCATCCCAAATGACTTATTATTTTTGTGATGTAAATATATGGCACTGAGGTATATATTAAAACATCTATTTAAAACAGACTAAATTTGCTCACTGGTCAGCCGGATCAAATTCTTTTCTAGAAAAGATAAAACATCTATACTTAACAAATAACATGTGCACATACATCTGTCTAGATAAAAATCCATTGTTGATTCTATATTATCATGTCCTTATCAATCCATTGTTCATGATCTCCAACTCAGTATAGAAATCTTTTAATTTCTTTTAAAATTAAAAAAAAGAAATAATAATAATAATAATAGTAGTCGTTTTCCATTCAATCGTTATTTGTTCATAAGGGTAACTAGAAAAACCCTTACCATTGCTCTTTCTAAATACAGTTCATCTACAATTCATTAGAGGAAGATCTAATTTGTTATATCCTAACAAAGAATAAATGAATGGTAACTGCTAGGGATTATTTATGAACTATTATTACATGAATTTCTATTTAATAACTTCAGTAACTTGATTATATGTATAGTCATATTCTTTTTATCATAAGCTTTTATTTAACCTATCTACCATTGTTATGCAATATAGTATTAACTTATTCACCAATTATTAGTTACAGTCTCTCACAATCATAACCACTTTTGACTTGATCTTTTATAACTGTTATTCTTTATTTTATGATATGATGCTGTCAGGTTTGCTTGTGTATAAACTACGTATGTCTGAAACTTACTATACGCACAATAGAGGTTAAAGTTACATTCTAGACTAAACCGGCAAGGCTAGGTGAGAATGACCAATAAAGACTCAAAGTTGACTCAAGGATGCTTGTGCTTGCTAACGAATCATTAGTTTAACACATGGAAAAGGTCAAGGAAGTCGACATTCTGATTGGCGGTTTTGTCACCTGATAATTCACAAGGGCAAAAGTCATAACATAATTAAACTTACGATATTGTGACGACCTTTAAAAGAAGTTCTTTACTAGTTATTCTAATAGTTTTTTTTAATCGTTAATACTTTTTAGTTCATTCATAATTTTGTTATGAAATCAACGACTATCATCAGATTGATTCATATCAATCAAACTTTCAACTGATTGACTTAGTAGTAGTTGAAATCACTAAGAGTGAATAACACAACATAACGATAACTTTTTAATCATTATAATAAACTATCTAGTTCCACTAATCAATAAATGTTTACTTATAATCGATTATTGTGTTACTTTACCATGATAAAAATGAATTTGTTACGTGTTTTCCTATACAAAATATAGTCGAATGAATAACGTTTACTTTTATACCTTTTCAAAAGACAACTTGCTTGCGCTAATGATACTACTACTTTCACCAGGTTAACCTAATCAAAGGATATGGATCGGGACTCATTTTCCCTGTGACCTAGTAGTTAGTTGTTGAAAGCTAAACACTACCGCTTCGTGATATATACTTCTTGAGTGTTTTTTATTGTTGATTTGGAATAAGTTCTTCTTGCTCATCGTATATGCAGCAAAATTGATTTATAGGTAGATATTCATATATGTATGTATGTATTCAATTGAGTGCATTAGTGATTTGTGATTGTTGTCATCTTGGCTTTTGTCTCTAGGCCATACTGCACAACACACATACACATAAATATTGTGAACTGAATTCGACAGATCAAATCAAATGATTAGCTCACATTAAAAAAACGAGTCCAAAAGCGTGCGTACGTGCGTGTTTGTGTGCAGCGTTGATATTTCGATATGTTTGCCTGTTCGGTTTTTAATCGATGGAGTTTGCTTTAACACTTGTTATAATAATAATAATAACACAATGGCCCATTCTTTTTTATTTATCAACGTGTGTGCAGAAAGCAGTTGGAAACAGTCGCTATCTTTCCTTCGTCATAGATTTGTTTCTACTGTAGAATTGTATTGTAGTAAACGACAACGCATTTGTTGATTGAAATAATAATAGTTATTATTATTGTCATCATTATTATAATAGATAGATGGATAGATCTATGATGAAGGAAAGATAGCGATTGTTCCCAATTTCTTTTTGCTCACACTCGTTTATGAATAGAAAAGAGTGGGCCATTGTGTTTAGTTTTTGTTGTTGTCTGTCTGCATATCTGTCCACTGTCATTCAACTGGAAAAATCGATCTCTTAACTTCTCTTCTACATCACATTCATTCAATCATTCATGCATTTATTATTCAGTTTTCATTTAGTATATTGAATTGGTAACAAAAAACTTTCACCACACTATGTTGTGTAATGTGCACGTACATGTGTAGGCGTGTGTGTGTGTGTGTGTTTACACACTTGTGGGCGATATGTGCATGTTTCTTTGTTGGTACGACTGTATAAAGGTATTTATGACTAGTTTTTTTATGGAAAAAAGAATCACATATAAAATGTGTCTTCCAAGTCATTACAGAGTGTATAGCAATCTGAACTTTACTGATACTGTTATCTCTATTATTATGATTACTGTTAAAAAAACTGGTATGGGTCCACTCTATTAGCGTAACCAATGTCTAAAGATGTTGGGTCATCGTAGTGCAGGTGCACTTACTCTTACCGTTTTTTTATTCCATGAATTTTTTATTCTCTTCTTAGATCATATCGCACATGCCTAACATTTTCTCCTATCGCTTATACCGTTACTACTTCGACTAATATAGTATGTCGCATGTTATTAATGTAATATGACAAATTGAACCACTGTATATCAGATGGTTTAACATTGAAGCCCAGTATGGATGTGTGTATTAGCTCAAGTCCCCATACCATATTATTACAATGAGATAATGAAATTAAGAGAGAATACATTACTAAAACATATTGGAACAATGATAATGAGAGAGACTGGACATTTGGAATATAGTTGAAAAAGACAGAATAGATAGGAATACTTAAAAGTATATTGAAATTCAAGATCGAGAGAAATAAATAGAGTGAATGCATCTGTACTGTTGTGATTATCTCTGAACTAATATATCTGACTGTAATTGTTCAACCTTCTTGAGGTAAAAAACTTATTTCAAATATTTTAATTGAATCCTCTACCGATTATTAAAAGGTGATCTGTGAAATCATCTCTTAAACTTTATCTCGTTTTTTTAAGTTATAAATCCTTGAATGCACAATGTATTTCATTCTATGTATCATCATAATATGGTAAAGTATTTCAAAAAAAAAACATTCTATTCAGTTATGTCGAAATAAAGACATTCAAGATGATTATTTGTTTATAATTGACACTGAATATTCTCTCTTCATCGTTAATGTTGTTACGTAGTCAAAATTAAGGTATGTTGATGGCTTTGGGGGGAAATTGAGGTTAGTCAGTCAGAGTAGTTTTTGTAAATGAAATGGATATCACGAAAAGACATCCAAGTTATAAAGAATGTAAAGTTTTAGAATGTTAACACTAATACTCCTAAAACAATTTCATTTCTTAACCTTATGTCTTCACCGCATATTTTTCTCTGACTACAACTACTTGGAGTGCTTTTTCTCAATAATTTAGAAGGTGATCTATAGTCATATCAATATCATCATCATCCTGGGGATGGTCGATTCCCAGAAATCATTTGGTGAACTTTTTATTTTTGTGATTTAATTGTAGGAATTTGAATTTTCTCATTTTCGCGCCAAAAGTCTTCATCATTAACTTCAGTTTGTACTTCCCACTTGTAAGGATCTTAAGCACCATTCGTTCGTTTTCCTTTTTAGTAAGCTATTTTGTGACGCTTTTCAACGGGATTTTTGTATTGTATATATTACGCATGAGTTGTGCGCTTGTTATCCGTTCATCTGGACTGCTTGTAAGGATATAAGTAAGGATGGATAGTGGCTAGTAGTGGAATCTAGGACGCGCGTTTCATCCTATTTGGGACTCGTCGGATATATGTACCTGCATCCTAGAGTTGGTCTTCACTCTGGGAATCGAACCCAGTACCGTTCGCTTCAAACGCCAGCGTGTTTTCCATTTAGCTACTGAGTCCTGATAATAACCACCTACTTGTGCAATAGCATATGTACATATGCCAATAATAAGAGACTGATCAATTGCAGTTCTAATCATCAATGGGAAGATTCAAGTAAACAATACCAAGTGCTTGTAGGAATATTTTCACTTCTGAATCTGGTCTTCTTCCTCTAGTTAACAGGGCTGGGGCACGGAGTCCAACTTATCCTGTTGTTGAATTGCTGTTTTTCATTTTGTTCTCCGGTCTAAGGTGACATCATAACCTCTAGAACATAGCACATCCAAATTAGCCAAAACTCAAAATCTCTCCAAAAACAAGGTATTCAGCACCAGCCAGATCTATCCGCAGTTTTGTTCTAAAACCCATGTATAAATTTTGCAATTGATATCTTCATGCTGATTGCCTAGTTCCATTTTTTTTTCAAGACTACTAGTGTACTTCAATTCTTCTGTTCCTTTTTTTCTTGTTGCATCATTCTAGTTGAACGTCGACGTCGAGACAGAATTAATACGTGGATAAGTGAATTGTATAAATTATTACCACCGGATGAGCAAACTAAATCACAATATCAAAGTAAAGGTATTGTATTAAAACGTGTTTGTGAATATTTTCAAAATGTGGATAGTATGTTGAAAGCAGCTAATTCAGCAGTTGAACAAGTATGTTTTTGTATAGTTTGTGTGTTGAGTGATGTTTTTTATTTGTTTTTGTCGTTTCATCTTTTGTTTCATGATGATAGTATCATTGTAGGTAGATGAAGTTGGTCACCAGTTGGATCCCAGTTTAGTTGGTATTAAAGTGCCTTAGTACGGCTGAGGGTGAGGAGAGTCCGCTACCCCTTTCGAAATGCTCTCATTTGGCTACGCATATATAGTCACTGGCAGGGAAATGCTGCCCATTGTCTTCTCTTGACGGGGTTGTTCACGAAATTAAGAGGACGAAAAGCCAATATCCCGCTCTGGCTTAAACCGGGTTGTACGGAACAGATAGAAAGTTTTTTAATTGAAATAATAGTCGGGAATACTCCCTAATATTATAGTCCATCATGCTAAATCCAAAATTTTTGGTCGACCTTTGAGCGATCCCAAAAGGACTCCACGAAACTCACCTACCCACTAGGGTTTATTGAGGGTTAAAACAGTATGAGAAAACAGAATCGGGATCTAAATTTAAAGTGAAGTTTAGAAATTAGAGTAAGTGTTTTCATCACGAACTGACAGCAGCTATTTTACGATATGAAAGGATGAATTTCGCGATGAAATTCAAGACTCGTTATTTAATATGTGATTGGTTCATCCATAAACTTTAGTCTTGCCGTCTTTCTTTTTATTAATGTCGCCCATCCGAAGCTGGTGACATTATGCATTAACAAGCTAATTCCAATCATATTCATTAACCCTTTTTATGCATCTACACAAAATATAGTTGAATAAACTAATTTCATCTGACACTTACTATTTTCTTGAAATCGCGAACCTATATAAGTTAAATAACCATTGGAATTATTGAAGCACTAAACGTCCACCTCAACCTAGTATGGTAATCCCCAGTAAGAAGTTTCCATAATCCCAGTAGCTTGGGATTTGAACCCCAGGATCTTTGATCTTCCACATGAACCATATGATTCCCGCACACTTGATGTAGTTGAACTTCACTTACTGTTTATTCATTATTTTTCATTTGTTTTTTTTTTGTTTATTCTAATCATCATCAACTGTTATTTCAATTAGCATTAAATTTCCAATTTTATTTCCTTAATTTACTTTTATTCATAATGTATGTATAGTAGTTGTTGTTGGTACAATGTAAAATTGTCAATTTGGCAAAATAAACATTGCCAATGGATAAACTGTGTTATTATGCCTTATACCTTTGCTAATATCACAATCAATAAGTCAGTTTTCAGCTGATTTCAATTAATCTTTTGTCTAAACACATAAACTATTTAAAAAACACATTATGTGTGTGTAATAGTCAGTCGATCAGTCACGATGTCGAATTCATTGGTCATTTTACTATTTACTGTTACTACAAGTATTAATGCTTGTTCACACGTGTTTTTACTTTTGTTTGTTCATTTATAAGTTATTATGCATGTGTGTGTATACATATGTTTTACGTCTGCCAGATATTTCAGTCATTGAACATGTTTAGGTTATCTTCTTTCCTTTCGGTTATAGTATTTTAATGTCATCATTACACAGATTATCAAAAATTAAATTAAACTGTGATTTTAGAAAATACAAACATCCGTTTAAGAATAACTAGCTGTATACAAAAATATGTACAGCATTAAAGCCGCTACGATGATAATCATATATGTTTAAGCCACTGAATTCAGTTTTCCACAATATTGGTACTGAATCACTGAATCACACCAAAACCTTGATATTACTAAGGTGAATTCGCCGTTGAATGTCAGCAGTTCTTCAGAGACAGCAATAGTCGAACATAGAGGTTCGTTGAATCTTCTTAACTCGGAGAGACCAAGTTAGGCTGGAGTAATTCGCTTTCATTTCCATTGTGCGTAGATTGATCTCATCTCCAGTGCTATTTCCAGTGCATGAACGTTTCAGCTATCAACAGTAGCTCACTGCAAAGAATGAGTGTTAGCATAGGCTTATACAAGCTTTCCTGATGTCCTTTGCACTTCGAAAGTGCAAAGTATTTCGTATATATGACATTAATTTCTAACTCTGTATTTGTGATTTTGGTAGCCATTTACCATAAAGAAGTTCGCTCGACGTTCCTTTACTGAGAAACGTAGAGCTTATGTCTATTATTGGCTTAGAATCAAAATTTTCAGTTTCTCTTCACTTTCGGCCATATCGAAGTTTTAAGTGCTAAGTTAACTTTAAACTTTTTCACAATATTACTAGAATCGCTTTAGTTCATTGAAGTACCATGGTCGTTTCCGACAATAGCTTCTTTAATCATAGATTTCGATTAATTTTACGGTTTTTATTCTGAATCAGTTTCAGTTGTGGAACTTTTTAATATTTTCATATCGTACCATGATATTTCGGCTAAACTATAATTTATAAGTGAACCAATCAGATTTATGGTAGTGAATCTTGGATTTCACCGCGAAATTCATCCTTTCATATGGTAAAATAGCTGTTGCCAGTTCGTGATGAAAACACTTACTCTAATTTCTAAATCTTACTTTAAATTTAGATCCCGATTTTGTTTTCTCATACTGTTTTAACCCTCAATAAACCCTAGTGGGTAGGTGAGTTTCGTGGAGTCCTTTTGGGATCGCTAAAAGGTCGCCCAAAAAATGGGCTTTCGTGGGGTCCTTTTGTTGTCACTAAAAATTTGTCCATAAATTATTGTTTCTTCGTCCTTAACTTCATTTATCTTTATTATAAATTGTTTTAACAACGAAAACCGACTAGTGTGTATGTGTGTCTGTATAATAGATGTCTCAGACATGAAAGTCGGCAAAAATTAAGTCTTATCTAATAAATCATCAACATTTAACGTAGCCTAGGCATTTGTCACATGATAATGGTGTTGATGTGCTGAATTCCTAAAATCCTTATTTCTTGAATCATTTTAAGCAAATGTGCCTGGTAAAGTTGATTGGCTGCACAGACGGTAAAGATAACGTTATCGGAGAGGAGTCGATAATTGGAATGAAAGAAATATTATTAATTGATGAAGAGATTAGATTGTGAACTAGATCTTGAGTTTTGATTGAGATGTCATTACTCGGTTGCCCATATCGACGAAGGACACTTATTATCGAAGTTCCTGATTAGGAACGTGGATTAGTGAGTTGTCTTGACAATCTGAGATCGTGACCACAATGCCGAAAGAACAACTGCCTAGGACGTGTCACATAGACGTTTTGTGACTAGTTGTTAATTTTTTAAGACTACCACCCGAGTCTGGAATCCGTAGAATAAGGTGAAGTGTGTTATTCGTAGAGCTGGATTTTTCTAGTACTTTTGTTTATTTGTGAACAGGCAGCATCACTGTATGTACTGCTTGTACGAGGGAAACACTTTACTATAGTCACATCTCTATACATTCAATTGTACCACTACTCTGTGTTTTCTCCCTACCACTGTCTACAACCTCAAATGGTTTGGCCTAGTTTATTTATTTATTTGTTTTTCTAAATAAATAAATATTGGTGTAAAGGGGGGCAAAATAAATATGCGCCATAATAGGAAATTGTGATTGTAAGGGGATAGAAGAAGGAAGGTGAGTATAATAAAAGTAACAGTAAATAAATAAAAACGAGTGAACTAGAGTATTATATTGATGGAAGAAGCAGTTCAGTTAAGAATATAATGAGAATAGATTGCTTCAGTTAAAACAATTCCTTTCACTTCTATGAAAAAAAAATTACAACAGGACCGCCACTGGCTTGTATGTATCCCGAAATATGCTTAACAAGCCACTGCGTCGGATTATCTTTAGGACCTTAACGAGGTAGTCGTGAAGGTCCAGGGGATGCCAATCTTTTAAAGTTTCATTTCATACCATGACAACACCATTTCATATACCGATCACCTATCCTTTTCTTCTGATCAGTCCCAGCGTCGGCAAATAATGCATGATGAGTCCTCTTGGACGACATTCGTAGTGCATGTCCAACTCATCGAGATCGGTGTTTCAAGATGGTGACACTACTTGTGCTCCAAGAAATTGCGGAACTTTCGTACTACTGACATAGTTATGGCAGTTGAATTCACCAGTCTTTCTTGGACAACGATGATCAAAGTCTCCCAACGTTCTCAAGTAAGAGAAAGCAGGTTTCACAAGTGTAGAACAAAACTGTTCTCAACAGCGCGTTCTAGATCCGATTTTTTAGGGACAGACTAACATCACAAAGACTTCAAAGATGGCCATGGTTGGCATAAACCGCTCTGGCTTTTCCTATACGTGAATTAATCTCATTAGTCATACCATCACCAGCACTTATGCAGCTACACATATTCATGAACTCGATTACTTCTATCTGGTCACTACCCAGAGTAAGTGCAACTTCAGGGTCTTGCCAGTCTTGTATATATGTTTTGCACTTGGAAGGTGCACATTAAGAAAATATCATCCACATACTCTATATCGAGATTTCAGCCATTATATCTTGATTGGTTCATCCTAGTTGACAAACTCCACCACCACAGAAATGCAGTATATGCGAAATTAGTTTCTCAGATTTGTTAAATTGTTAATTTGTTTTAACATGGCTAGTGTATAATTGAATGTATTGTATCATAATATCTACACACATCATAAATTTTCTAGCACTGTGGTAACAGTAATAGATAGTGTTTTTCTCTCTAGTTACCTTCACAAGTTTGTTCTAAAAAAAAATCTCACTGTATATATTTCTATCAATGATTATTATTATTTTCAGATTCGTGTAGAGAATAGTATTCTACGTCAACGAGTTCATGAATTACAACAAGAAAATCAATTATTATCAGCTTCTTTACAATTAGGCGCTGTAGCTGCTGCTGCTCATCTTAAAAATAGACAACCTCGACCTGGTTCATCATTATCATCGGTCAATATGAATACTACTAATGAAGGAAACACTATTACTAATAATAATAATGGAACAGTATCAGGAGGTGGTGTCGTATCAACATTAGCTAATAGTGAAAATTGTACAATATTAAAAGATCCTATAGAATTTACAGATTATCAATCTCCACTTACTGTATTCACAGTAGATACTCCAAATAATAATAATCATAATAATAGTAACAATCATGGTGTAAATTTCAATCAAACTAATTCTAATTGTATAACTCCTACAAGTTCACTTAATAATAATAATTCATCATGTTTTACAACATCATTAGCATCGATCAATTCTATTGGTGGATTTAATGTTTCTCAAACAATATCACCGACGAATACATCGTCAACTTCAGAAATAATGAATCAAGTTTTATGTCCTTTAACTTTGCCAAGTTTAGACCATATAACTATGCAACATACAGATACTACTACCATTAATACTGCTACTAATAATAATAATCGAGTATCCTGAGATTTGTATACATACACATACTCATGTCCTCTTCCTTCCTAGTCTCCATTTTCGATATGAAATCTACATAATGAACTAACTATATATACATATAAATTGGTTCCCTTTTTAAAAAAAATTAGCTTGTTATTCTTTTCAGAATTCATCTTCTGACAATTATCTTCATTCATTTAATGGACAGAGAAAGAAAGCAAATAAATTGTTCAACACAATTAATTTCAGAATGTCAACATAAAACTTATTACATTCCTTTTCTTTTACAAATATAGTTTATTTATCTTGTTGATAAGATGAAAATGGTAGTACGTATTTTGTTGTTGTTGTTGTTATTGTTGTTATTGTAGTTGTAGTTGGACAAGGCGCTTCTTTCCACTATTCATCCTCATCAACATTTAAATGATAATAAAGATCTAATCATTTCTGTGTCTTTACACTTATGTTTTTTCTCTTCTTCAACATTTCATTACAACTGAATTTCATGTGCTTTCTAACTTCACTTATATTATTTATTTGCCTTTCTTGTTTGATTTAATCATTATCCTCCTCATTATTATAATAATAATATGTACCTGATAACTTACACTACCTTCATCATTAGGCTGACAATAATGACTGCTATTACTACTGCTATAATATTGGACTTTTTTCAATTCTTATGTCCATTTTCTTGTCAATTCTCCTGAGAAGGTGAACAAGACCCATTTATTTATTCATTTATTCATTCGGATGAAATTTATGACAGATTTGCAAATATTCATTATAATAGGCGTATATTCTTCATTCTCTGTTTTAGGGCTCAGTATATTTTATGATTGATATTTTTCTCTTTCTTTTTGTGCGTTTTTCTCGTTGATAATTTGGTCGTTCATTGTGTCTTGTTCTTTTTGCACAATGCATATATATATATATATATATATATACACTCATGTGTGTTGTATAATTCATTCGTCACACCACGTTTGTGTGTGTGTGTGTGTGTGTGATTAGGGCAAAAATAAATTTGGGTTTTTTTTTGTTGAACCGTTTTTGATCACCTGGTGATTTCTTATTTTCTTTTTTGCGCGTACAAAGTGTTTTGACTGCTACTACTATTACGACTAATGATATTATTATTATCATTATTATTACTATGATCATTATTCTCACCGACGGTTATTCTTTCGTTTCTTTTTTTTGTTTAGAAAAATATATTTCTCCTATATACTTTTTATTCTCATCATTGTGTTTATCTGTGATAGTAATGCTTTAATTAAAGTAAAAATTGTTGAAAACTAGACGATGGTAAATCTCTCTCATGACTGTCGTCATCATTACCATTCAGTTAAAAAAAAATACAACCTGGTGTATGTAACTTTTCTGATGTTTAACACAACCTACATCCATATTCATACATGAAGTGGAAATTCATCTATAAGTACATATCTATGTTGTGTTACATGATCGTCATCACTACTACTACGACTGCTACTATCACCACCATGTATTGTTTACTTCCATCTGCTCACAACAGTTTTCATATAATAATAATAATTCTTTCTTATCATCCATCTATTCATATATTGCGCCTGTTTATTTGTTCTATCTCTTTTTGCCTGTTTAAAGTTTATCATTTGTAATTTATTATTATGTAGTTTTCTTTTCTATGTCTTTCACAATGACACACATCCCACTAAAACAAACTGGTATCATTTCATCTTTTAACTAATAAAAAATTGTATCACATTTTTGTTCTGTTCTGCCCATTAGGTAATTTCATCACTTTTAACATGATTGTTTTTTCTTGTTGTTGTTGCACAGATTAGGGTTCTTTATCCACCCCCATCCCTACCAGCAAATTTTATGTTACTTCTGATTGTATGTTAAATTTACTGTGTTTTCATTGCCCATTATCTATGATAATACTATCTGTCGTGCTTTCTGAGTCAAAAGTAATTTTTAGTTGCTATGCCAAATAACGATTTTCTCTTGTCTCTGTGTTTCTTCTCAAATTGCTTGTTTCTTGATGTAAATGATATATTGACCTTATTAGTGGGAAAACGTCTTTTTTAATTAAAAAAACAAACATTAAAGAAGGATTGCACACTGAAAGAACCAATACTCTTTCATATATATATATATATATATATATATATATATATATATATATATATATATATATATATATATAATTGGATATTAGTTGTCAATCAATAATTCAACTGGTACTCAATTGAAAAAGACTCATGAATATTGTATTTTTTTTCTCATTTGAGTTGCATTCATACAGCTGGGTTAGTGTAATTTTTAATATTGATTGCATATTCATGTTTTGTTGTATTACTTCGTAATGCTTTATTCTTTCAGAGATGATCATTTTTTCTTTCGTTTTGTTATTGTTGTTTTGTTTCATGTTCGTTAGTTTTTTTTTGGAGGGGGGGTTTGATTTAATTGAATGTAGTTTGTTTTGTTGATTTGTTTCTTCTTTTTTTTCCACCTGAAAAAAAAGAGGAAACTGATTTTTTTTTTTAGCTCATCTCATATAATCAAATGAAACGTAAATGTGAATGTTCATTCAAGTTTTGTTCTTTTAATTGTTTATTCGTAATAGTACAGCACAATATACATATGTGTGTGTGTGTGTTGGTGAATGTGTGCGCCAAGTACTAGTTAGTTAAAAACCTACCTAACTGTTTCATGTTTTTTTTTAATTTTTCGCTTTCTTGGGTATAATATGTATTTGTTGTTCGATTGTTTATTTGTTGGTATATATATATATATATATATATATATATATATATATATATATATATATATATATATATACTCGTAGAAAAGAATATGAGGAATAATTCAATGCCGTTGTGAATTGTTTTTGAATTTCATACATTAATTCTCATCAGGGGGTATCTTCTCTATATCTCTCTCTCTCTCGTATCTTTAATTGATTTACAATATGTTTGTGAAAAATGATTATCATACCACGATTTTAGTTTAGCACAAAATCAAATGCTTCTGTTATGAACAGATTTTTTTTTCTTCAAAACTTAGATATAGGAAATAATATGGTTAACTATGTATACTGATTTAATGAGTCGCTTTTCTCGGTTTAAACAACAGCAACAACAACAACAACAAACAAAACATGTTTTCATTGATTATATCATTATGATTGAGCACGTATGAAATGTATTTCTCTTGAAGATTACAGTTCTTTTTTTTAAATGAATTATCAGTTCACTTTTTATATTGAATTAAACTGAACGCTTATGAACTATAGTCGATCAGTTAGACAAACCGCTAATATCATATTTTAATAATACCCGAAATTACGTAATCTTTTGAACGTATCATAAGAATTTAGTTCTTCCGTAATCTGAATGAGATTATATGTTGTTCTCTCTCTCTATCTAATGTGCTTACAGTTAAAAAGTACTTACTCACGCCTGTTACTCCTAATGGAGCATAGACCACCGACCAGCATTCTCTAACCCACTATGTCCTGGGCCTTTTCTAGTTTTATCCAATTCTTGTTCATATTTCTCATGTCTGTCTCCATTTCCCGTTGTAATGTGTTCTTTGTTCTTCCTCTTTTCTTTTCGCCTTGTGTATTCCATGTGAGGGCTTGTCTTGTGACGCAGTAGGGTGCTTTCAACAATGTGTGTCCTATCCAATTCCAGCACTTCCTGATTTCTTCGTCCACTGGAATTTGGTTTGTTCTCTCCCACGGTAGGTTGTTGCAGATAATGTTTGACCAACTAATCCAAAGTATTCTGCGTAGACAATTGTTAATAAACACTTGTATCTTCTGGATGAAGTCTTTCGTAGTTTTCCGTGTTGACATTTGTATTGAAAATTCTGACTTTGGTGTTGGTTGCCAATTGTTTTGAGTTCCAGATGTTGTTCAGTTGTAAATATGCTGCTCTTGCTTTTCCGATCCACACCTTCACATCTACATCAGATCCATTGCTTTTGTCAATGATGCTGCCCAGATATGTAAAGGTTTTTACATCTTCCAAATCTTCTCGGTCAATTGTGATTGGATTGGTGCATGCTGTGTTGTATCGGAGAATCTTGCTTTTCCCCTTGTGTATATTGAGACCTACTGCTGCCTGGGCTACTGCTACACTGGTTGTCTTCTCTTGCATTTGTTGTTAAGTGTGTGATAAAAGAGCCAGATCATCTGCGAAGTATAAGTCGTCCAACTGCATCATAGTTGTCCATTGTATCCCGTGATTCCCTTCAGATGTTGAAGTCTTCAAGATCCAGTCGATCACCAGGAGAAAGAGAAAAGGTGAGAGTAAGCAACCTTGCCTGACACTGGTCTTTACTTCGAACGAGTTTGTCAACTGTCCTCCATGCACTATTTTGCAGTTCAATCCATTATAGAAATTCTGTATGATATTGATTATCTTTTGAGGCACGCCGTAGAGTTAAAAAGTAACTCAGATTATATTCAAAAACGTTAAGTTCCTTGTTTCGAGATAACCACAAGGGTAGATAAAGCACATACCGCTTAGATTAGTGTTGCCCTTCCATAATTTAGTCACATCATAAACAGAGATAGATGCTAGCTAGTAGTGGGTCCCAGGACGCGTTTCGTCTTACCCAAGATTCGTCACTTTAGTAGTTGTTAAATATACGTCTCTGAGTTGACATTCGCTCTGGGACTTGAAGAGACTGATCAATCACAGCCCTATTCATCAATGGAAAGATCCAAACAACCAATAAAAATCAATCGTATATTCTTATAAAACATCACGATTTTTAGCATAACTTAAGTATATCGAGGTTAAAAAAACAAAACACGCAAAATGTCGTATGGGATGAAGTAACACACTTAAGCAAAGAAAGTTTTGATATCCCTAGTTTCTGTGATATTATTTCTTACACTTACATATGTGCCACACAAAATTTTATTTGTGTGTGGGCTGTAATACTGCTCGGGTGCCCAGACCGAAGCAGGTGATTTTCTTAGGGGGCCACACCATCATTTGAAAACATGGTATTCCAAGTCAAAGCTA